ATTATGTACAATGTTCAGATATCAGTGAATACAATGTTAGTTATGATATCCTCCAAAGCGACATCCACACCGCTGCGAACTCCTGCACCATGCAGTGGGCCCGATGGAAGGATGGATCCCACCGCCCCTGGCCGGCCTGGTGAGGACTCACTGGTCACAAAGCCCCAACCAAGAGATGCGATGCGTCCATGAACACATTGAGCAGCCGACACAAGGCCCCCAGGGGTCGAACCCAATGATCGCGGGAGAAGCGGAAGGGGCATCCCCGAAGGAACCAGAACAGCTGACGAAGTCAAACCCGGCCTGGCAGGTAGACCATCACAGCAAATTTCAGACTCCCGCACAACCACCTCGTGACCCGGAAGCCTCCCAGAAACAGTCGAAAGTGGGATTGCAGCCACAGCAGAGCCTCTGGAGGAAGAGACAAGGAAGCAGTCCAAGAGTCCCACACAAGACCCAGCCAAGTATGAACCTGAGAGGGAACCAGATGGGATTTCCTCCAGTTCAACTCGGCGAGCTGGGAAAGAACCAAATCCCTGGCGAGCAGACATGCAGACTGGCTGGGAGGCCACATCAGCCAGTCGTCAAGGTAGACCAGCATCCGAACCCCTAAGAGATGCAAATGGATGATCACAACCTGGGTAAGGCATGTGAAAATGCAAGGTGCCAGATTCAAGCCAAATGGAAGGCAATGAAAGCGGTAAACCTGATACCCCACAAAAAAACTGAGCCAGTCCCTGAACCCCGGATAAATTGGGACCTGCCAATACGCATCCAGGAGGTCCAGGGACACCATCCAAGCACCCCGGCTCAAAAAGAAGTCTGACCTGGGACAGAGTAGTCATCCGAAAGGAGGGGCAACCTTCCCCCCCCATCGCCCCCGTCAATTGGATGAACCGCGAAAGGGTCGACGCCCCTTACGTGAAGTCAACTTACGAGCAGAGTGATCACCGCGCAGACCAGTTGTCGTCGGTTCCAAAGGCTGAGCGACTGCGAAACCAGCACCACTGGCCTACCACAATGGGAGGAACCCAAAGCCCTGGCACAACCCTTTTGGGAAGACTCCCGCGGGCTCCCCGGAGAACCAACAAGTCCAACATGGGACGACAACTAGAAGAAGCCGCTTGCAGAAACTGCACCACCGCAGACTCTGCAAACAGCAAAGGACAAAAAGGCATAGAAAACCTAAGAGCCAGAGCCCAAGCGGATTCCAAAGATTGAACGAGCACCGCCTGACAGCATGTGAGACGAGAAGCAAAGAACAGAGATGCCGCCTCCCTTAGGATCGGTGCAAACAGCTTTAACTAAGCAGCCAATGCCCGTACTGCCAAATTCAGCGCACCAGAACCAGGATCAGCACCCAGTGCCTCCTTGTCCTCCTCAATAAAGTCCGAAGACAGCTCGAGAAGGGAAAAGGATAAATGCAAGATGGAAGCCAAATGGCCATGGGTGCGCAAGTCCTCAGCAACCAGGGCAGCCGAAAGAAAGGGAACCCTCAAATGAAGCTGTACCAGGCTGACATCTGGAGGAAGGGCAGGGGAAAAAGCAAACACGCATTGAGGCGTTCAAACTCGCCTCACCAGGTAAACCTGAACAACCATAAGGGCCTCTTGTCACTCAAGCATGCGGGACCAACAGAACATATGCCACGCTCCCCAACGAAAAGACAGGACAGTCTGCCTACCAGGATGACTCTACAACCTCGTAACATACCCAGTAAGGAAAGGAAGAACCGAACTCAAAAGAGGCAGGATCCATTATCAAGGAGTAATCCGGGTCACTCAGGAGGTAAGCTGCAATGGCCACCCGCACTTCATGGGGGGGATGCGGGAAGCTGAAAACCTCCGGAAAGAAGGGACTGAAGTACCCAAGGGAACCTGGAACCGAACCCGAGGAGGGTTTGACACCATATCAAACTCGTACAGGGAGGGAGGATAAGAAATCCCCACCTCCTGCAACAACAAGCCCCACTCAGAGGGAACCAAAACCCAAGCAGGGTCAAACAGAGCCCAAGCCCCTCAAGTTAGCCCCTTCTCTGCCCTGGGAACCTCCACACCAGGACCCAGGGCTGAGCCGTCCTCCAAACCCTCTGCCTCAAAAGAGAAGGCAGAGTCCACCGGAAAAGCTGGAATGAAGGGGCTCACTGGTCAGACCCAGAAGCACCAGCTGAAGGAACAGGCTCAAATGCCTCCGTCGTCACACCGGAAGGGGTATCCCCCCAAACCGCCCGAGTCTCACCACCAACTAAACCCTACCCTGACTCCGAAACCCTCAGATGCTTCGGAGCTGGGTGCAAGGGAGGAGGAACAGGACACACAACACCAGGGGGAAGGACAAGGGGGAAGGACGAAACGAAAGTCGAGGCAACTAACACCCCCAAGTTCGAATCCCTATAACCAAAACGGGGCAGTCTTGGGGCATCTGGGTGAGCAACTAACTTAAAGAGCGCTGCAGCAACCTAAAATGCGCATCCAACACCGAAGCTGCCTGCACCCAAATATCAAGATCAGTGGATTGGGTTAACTGGATTACAAGCAAGGAACACCACTCGCAGGACTCTGGGTCGAAGGTGTTACCGACCCAACAGGCAGCATGACGGAGACAACTGGTGAGTGTCATCCTGAGACTGAGACAAGGAAACAGAGCAACCCTCAAATTCGCACAAAGCGAGATGGGACCCAGGAATGCATCCATCGGACCTCTGAGCCCCAATGGGGGTATCCAGGGCCCTTAGACGCTCTGCTAAGGGAAGCCCAGGCAAGGTACTGCTAACTGGTGCCCCAAACTACCAAAACTACTAAAAGCTGAACCCCCAGGACATGTACACTCACGGGGACCTAGTGGAGGACCACCAATATATATAAGGGGTACCAACACCAAGGGGCAGACCCCCCCCACCAGGCAGGAAAAACAAAAATAAAAGAAAAACCCTGCAAGAGCACAACGACCCAGGCAGAACAGAGCCAGTCACTGTATTATGGTGAAAACAAGCTGCACAGTACCTTCTGCCCCTACCAGTGATGAAACTATCTCCTACCCAGAGACAAACAGTGGTGCATGAAACACCCCAGCTGACTCCAAGGGCGGACAATCACCGAGCAGTAAAAGACCCCACGGAGGCAGACCCCAAGCAACTTGTGGAAGATAACCCACCCCTAGGTGCATGCAGCCCGAGTACTTGTGAAATTACACCTGGCTCGCACAACACCACAGGAGAAGACCACACCACAAGGTACAATACTGTTAAGTGTCTGGATCCAGAGTCGCATGACTGCCAGGTCTCACATCAGCCACAGAACTGGGGGGGGTGGAAAGCCGGCACGGGGGTCTGGAGCTCCCCCTTCCTATAGCTATAGGCAGCTGTATAGCTACACATACAATGGTGTGGTGACAGTTGTGACATCATGCTCGTTTGCTCGTATTTAGTTTGGAGAGTTCTGTCCAACAGTTCGGGTTTGAGTAGCAATTTTTTACCCATATAGGGTTTGCTTTGGGGTGCCTACCTTTCTGGGTTTCTGACCCAGTTGATGGCAGACATAGAATGCTTCAAACCACACGGGGGTTTCTATAGGCCATTGCTCCTCTTGCTTCTCTGAGAGAGCCAGGTTCTGGCCCGTGGTCCCCCGGTAGGCATAATAACTCCATTCGCTTTGATTGATGCCACGGTCTAACACATTTATATCAGCCTGGAGAGCTCTGGCGAGTCGAAGGGGCTCCCCCTCAGATAAATATTGAAAGACATTGAAGTAATTATGAAAAATGTTATTCCCTAGCCCCAGCCACCCCGGACTAGCATCTCTCAGCGCTCAAGCACTCAAGAGCCCATCAATTCCTCAACTTCTCTGCTCCATCCTGCCCAAAGTGAGTCACATATAATATTTTTGTTCACGTTCCCATGATCAGGGAACGCATTTTAACAAATCAGAAAAGAAATTTTGGGAAAATAATTTTTTCTTGCACACTGCAGGAGGGGTTTTATGTGAAGGCTGTGCAGTATCAGGGTTAAACAACCCTGGTTGTGATCCACACCATCAATGTAACAACCCTGGTTGTGATCCACACCATCAATGTAACAACCCTGGTTGTGATCCACACCATCAATGTAACAACCCTGGTTGTGATCCACACCATCAATGTAACAACCCTGGTTATGATCCACACCATCAATGTAACAACCCTGGTTGTGATCCACACCATCAATGTAACAACCCTGGTTGTGATCCACACCATCAATGTAACAACCCTGGTTGTGATCCACACCATCAATGTAACAACTCTGGTTGTGATCCACACCATCAATGTAACAACCCTGGTTGTGATCCACACCATCAATGTAACAACCCTGGTTGTGATCCACACCATCAATGTAACAACTCTGGTTTTGATCCACACCATCAATGTAACAACCCTGGTTGTGATCCACACCATCAATGTAACAACCCTGGTTGTGATCCACACCATCAATGTAACAACTCTGGTTGTGATCCACACCATCAATGTAACAACCCTGGTTGTGATCCACACCATCAATAAAACAACCCTGGTTGTGATCCACACCATCAATGTAACAACCCTGGCTGTGAACCACACCATCAATGTAACAACCCTGGTTGTGAACCACACCATCAATGTAACAACCCTGGTTGTGATCCACACCATCAATAAAACAACCCTGGTTGTGAACCACACCATCAATAAAACAACCCTGGTTGTGAACCACACCATCAATAAAACAACCCTGGTTGTGAACCACACCATCAATGTAACAACCCTGGCTGTGAACCACACCATCAATGTAACAACTCTGGTTGTGATCCACACCATCAATAAAACAACCCTGGTATGGTGTGCAATGCAGTGGTAATATTGAAAGGAAGTAGACAAGGGAACAACAATGAAAGCTAGAAATGCAAATCGAGTAGTAGAGGTATAAAGAAATTATCGTACCTTGTACGATTCACTATCTTGATTCATTTTAAAAAATAATAAATCAGTCATACCTGGGCCATCAAATATTGCAAGGGGCGAAACTGCACGTCCTCGGGGTTTGGGCGATGGCATGCGTCGTAGTCTGCGGGGACTCAATGGACACTTGACCATAGGTTGTATAGTCTTACACTCTAGAAAAAAATGTTTGTACTTATTAGTCATGATTGTAATCAAAATGAACAGAAAAATGAGAGCTGTGATGAGAGGGAAAAGTATCAGATTGAAGAAATAGCATCAGCAAAGTACCACATTACCTAAGTGTAATTACCTAAGTGTAGTTACAGGATGAGAGCTACGCTCGTGGTGTCCCGTCTTCCCAACACTCTGTCATATAACGCTTTGAAACTACTAAAGGCCAAGACCGTCAGTAGTTTCATAGCGTTATATGACAAAGAGTGCTGGGAAGACGGGACACCACGAGCGTAGCTCTCATCCTGTAACTACACTTAGGTAATTACATGGGTCAATTCTTGCACCAATAATGCTCACAGTCTATATAAACTAGTGTGAAATATTTAGACAGGAGGACTGACATGCCCTTCAAAATTAATTGACAAACTAAGTGAATATAGTAACACACAGCAAATGCAATATAATGAGGACAAATGCCAAGTAATGAAAAGTGTGGGAAACACACCATATATGTAGAACATACAAGTTATATGAAAAACCTTTTAAAACTCGGTAGTGATCACTACATGGAGCCGGTCGGCCGAGCGGACAGCACGCTGGACTTGTGATCCTGTGATCCTGGGTTCGATCCCAGGCGCCGGCGAGAAACATTGGGCAGAGTTTCTTTCACCCTATGCCCCTGTTACCTAGCAGTAAATAGGTACCTGGGTGTTAGTCAGCTGTCACGGGCTGCTTCCTTGGGGTGGAGGCCTGGTCGAAGACCGGGCCGCGGGGACACTAAAGCCCCGAAATCATCTCAAGATAATCTCAAGATGGTTAAAAACGAGACTGCAGCCTCAAAATTGACAAAATTCCCCAGCAATGAAAACAAACAATTAAAATTTTGTGAAACTAGCCGGTCGGCCGAGTGGACAGCACGCTGGACTTGTGATCCTGTGGTCCCGGGGTCGATCCCGGGCGCCGGCGAGAAACAATGGGCAGAGTTTCTTTCACCCTATGCCCCTGTTACCTAGCAGTAAAATAGGCACCTAGGTGTTAGTCAGCTGTCATGGGCTGCTTCTTGGGGGTGGAGGCCTGGTCGAGGACCGGGCCACAAGGACACTAAAAAAAAAAAAAAAAAAGCCCCGAAATCATTTCAAGATAACCTCAAGAAGCCTCATGCTAGTTTGCCGCACCTCTTCCCACATTTGGGGAAGCCTGGCTGACCTGGCCCGTGTCAGCCAGGCTTCTCACCAAACAATTCTAGACTCATGTGTATCTGGTAGTTGTCGTTGCTCTAGCTATGGTTTCCCATTTTCGAGTGGTGTCTATTTTTGGGGCTCTGTTCTTATGCGTAAGTGTGTATGAGAAAGGAGTTTAGTGTTTTGGAGCTGCATGCCCAGAATTTCCTTCCCTGTGCACTCTGTATGTACTACTCTTACATGGTCAGGGTTGCCTTCTATAGGGTGTTCAGGAAACACTTCCATTTGGAGGCTTCTTCGCATGGGGTGGTCCTCGCCCTTCAGGTAAGCTGGTGGTCTGTGACTTTTGTCTTTCCTCGGTTCTGCGAGTATTTTTGACTGGTGGGCAGCACTGCAATCTGCGCGACCTGTTAGAAAATTAGCACACAGTGTGCAGAAATTTCTCCCAGGGTGCTCGTTCTCTGCGGTTTGGTCTTTGGGGTATATTTGGCAATTTTATTTTCATTAGTGTTCAGTTTTAACTTGCTTCATCAGCTTGGCCCAGTCTCTGATCAAGCCTCCTGGTTGCTGGACTGGTCAACCAGACTGTTGGACGCGAGTGCTCACAACCTGACATATGAATCACAGCCTCGTTATCAGGTATCCTTTGGAGGTGCTTATCGGGTTCTCTCTCGAATAATATGAAGGGTCGGCCAGCTATGGCCCTTATGTGAAGTGGAGGCGTGTTGAACAGTCTCAGGCTTCTGATGTTGATAGAGTTCTCTCTCAGAGAACCATTGCATTTCTGCTTTTCAATGGGGGTATTCTACACATCCTGCCATGCCTTCTGGTCTCATGTGATGTTATTTCTGTGTGCAGATTTGGGATCAGCCCCCCTTTAATATTTTCCACGTGTAAATTATTATGCATCTCTCTCTCACCTGTGCTCTAGAGAATACAAATTTAAGCATTTTAGTCGGTCCAAATAGTTTAGATGTTTTACCAAGTGAATTTTGGCAGTAAAGGATCTCTGCACACACACTGCAGGTCAGCAATTTCTCCAGCTTTGAAAGGAGCTGACATCGTGCAACAGTATTCCACTCTAAGAAAGCACTAACATCTAGAAAAGTATCATCATTGGTATAGCATCTCTTGTTTGAAAGGTTCTTGTTATCCAACCTGTCATTTATTTTACAGTTGTGATAGCTACTTCACTGTGTTCTTTAAAGGCAAGACCATCTGACATTATTACACTCAAATTCTTTACATTGTTTTTTCGTTCTATGGTATGATTTGACTGCATTTTGTACGTGGTAACCATTTATATATTTTAATTTTTTCCATAGTGCAGGAGCTGGAACTTATCCTCATCAAATACCATTTTGTTTTCAGTGGCCCATTGAAAGACCCGAGTTACATCTGATTGGAAGCTTGCCGTGTCCTCTATGCTGTATACTCTCATAAAAAAACCTAGTGTCATCTGCAATGGATGATATGGTACTATATAGTTTGTGTCTTTGTCTAGGATCGGTACGGTAATGAGAGAGTACTGGAGCAAGCACAGTACCCTGGGAAACTGAGCTCTTATCAGTTGATGGTCTGGATTGTTGAACATTTGTTGAAGACTTTTGCAAAATCTGTGTATATTACATTAGCATTTTGCTTGTCTTCCATGGCATCTAAGGCCATGTCATAATGGTCCAGAAATTGTGATAGGCAAGAGCACCCTGTTCTGAAACCATGTTGTCCAGGGATATGGAGATGCTGTGATTCCATGTATTTTGTGATTTGTATCATCATTGATTTTATGATGTTTGATATTAGTGCTATCAGTCTGTAATTTTTAGCCTTTGGCTTGTTCCCTCCTTCATGGGGTGGTGCTATCTCTGATGTTTTTAGTATGTCAGGGATAACACCAATATCTAGGCTCTATTTCCACAGAATGTTAAGGGCTTGCAATATTGTTTTTTTTTCAATTCTTGATGAATATGAAGTTCCAGGAATCAGGACCTGGTGCAGAGTGAATAGGAATACTGTCTATGGCTTCTTCAAAATCCAGTGGGGTTAGTTCTGCCCTTCTGATATACGATTGATGTTGCTGTCACATCCATGAAGAATTTGTTTGGGTTATCAATCTTCAGTGTGTTTAGTGGCTCACTGTAAACATGGTCATACTGTTTCCTCAGTATTTCGCTCATTTCTTCGTTGTCATCTGTGAAAGTTCCATCTCCCTTGCACAGGGGCTCAATACTAGATGTAATGTTTATTCTTGATTTCGCACAGGAGAAAAAATATTTTGGATTTATCGCCATTTCACTATTGGCCTTTTGTTCACTTTGCCTCTCCTGGATTTTGTATGATTCTTGTAGCTTTAGTTCAATCATTTCTATTTCTCTACCTAGCCTTCTACGTCATTTTTGAGATAGGGTGTGACACTCAAGTTGTTCTGTGATTCCTTATTTTAGTCTATAGAGGGAACTCTGTTCCTGTTCCAATCTTAATCGCTTCCTCTTTTTTCTCAGGGGTATGTGGTTTGAGCATATTGCTAGTGCTACTGAGCTTATTTTTTCCAGGCACTACTTCAGGTTTGCATTTTCTAGCAGTTCTTTCCAGCTTATTTCTGTGAGGTCTTGGTTTATTTGTTCCCAGTTACTAAAATTGAATTTGCTGAATTCTCCTACTCTGGGACTTGCTGTGCAGGTTTATACCCGGAGAGGGTTCTGGGAGTTCTTCCGGCCTGAGGCCTGGCTCGACTTGTGATAACTTGGTCCAACAGGCTGTTGCTTGCGGCGGCCCACAGGCCCACATATCCACTATAGTCTGATTGGCCCGGCACTTCTTAGAAGAACCTAAGTGCCTCTTGAATACATCCACCTTTGTTCCAGCAATATTTCTAATGCTTGCTGGGAAGGTGTTGAACAGCGGTGGACCTCTGATGTTCAGAGAGTGCTCACTGATTGTGACTATGGCACCTCTACTCCTCACTGGTTCTATTCTGCATTTCCTTTCGTATTTTTTGTTCCAGTATGTTGCTATTCTACTGTGCAAATTTGGGACCTGGCCCTCCAGTATCTTCCATGTATATATTATTTGATGCCTTTCTTGTCTCCTTTCCAATGAGTACATTTTGAGAGCTTTGATACGGTCCTAATAATTTAGACGTTTTATCGTTTCTATGCATGCTGTATATGTTCTGTATTCCCTCTAATTCAGAGATCCCTCCCGCTCTGAAAGGGGAGTGACTACCAAGCAATACTCAAGATGGGACAGCACCAGTAATTTAAATACTGTAGTATTAGCATTACTGTGGGGTCTTTGGATTTGAATGTTCTCATAATACATGTTATTTTCCTGGCCGCCGCTATATTGTTTGGTTATACTGTAACCCCGCGATTATCCGGGATTCGAACATCCGAAAAACGCCCTTATACGGCCAAAATCGTGAACGGATAAAGTTATCACAATATCCGGCCAAAATAGCCACAGGGACCGGATTAAAGCAGGTTTTCTGCAGAAATTACACTATCCAGTCAGTCCCCCAGGTAATCGTGCCTTTGTCCGTACAGTATATGAAAACATGAGGCAGGCCATACGGTATTAATCCCGTCTGCCCGAGACTCGAGGCGCATGGTGTAGGTGGGGGTGGGGTGGGTGGGTGGTGTCTGTACGTCAGGAGGGACTACCTGGGTACAGGAATTACCATTAATTTTAGAACAATTAATCATAGCCAAAAACAAATAAAATAACTACTAGTAATTATGTAATAACAAATAAATAAGTTTCCTAAAAGCATTGTGCACAGGCTGAAGTTTCCTTAAAAAATATTGTGAATTTTTTTCCTCCTGGCGGCCTACATAACGCGTTATGGCTGCCCCAAGTGGACCTGTCCAACACTGGTCAACCCATGTGCGTCCGTCCCTCGTGTTATACACAGTGCTGCGCCATTAGTGAAATATTTTTTTAAATAACTTTTTTATTTTCATAGTAACTTTGAACATTTTTGGCCAAGACTATGTCTGGTAGCAGCATCAATCGTTCTGGAGGTGTTAAGAGGAAGAAAGTTGTCCTAACAATTAAAGACAAGTCACAGTTATACGCCTCAACCAGTGCGGCCTCACAGTGTTGCGCCATTAGTGAAATATTTTTTTAAATAACTTTCTTAATTTTCATAGTAATTTTGAACATTTTTGGCCAAGAATATGTCTGGTAGCAGCATCAATCGTTCTGGAAGTGTTAAGAGGAAGAAGATTGTCCTAGCAATTAAAGACAAGTTACGTGTTGTTCAAACAGTGAGGCGTCACAGGCAGCCAAGCGCCTTCAACAAGTGAGGCGCCACAGGCAAGCCAAGCGCTTTCAACAAGTGAGGCGCAAGCAAGCGCCTTTAACAAGTGAGGCGTCACAGGCAAGCCAAGCGCCTTCAACAAGTGAGGGCATGCAAGCGCTTCAACAAGTGAGGTGCAAGCAAGCACCTTCAACAAGTGAGGCCTCACAGGCAACCCAAATGCCCTCAACCAGTGAGGCTTCAGCAGCTGGCAGTCAAAACTAACTTAGCTTAATGAACTGTACAGTAATTTTAAGTGTTAATTTTAGTGTTGTGTTAGTATAGGTTACGTAAATTGTTAAGAATTTTTAACTTCAAGATGTGTGGCATCAATCAAGAAGACGAACACCAACAAGGTAAGTTGAGGTTTGTAGTTGAATATTTAATAATTGTATGTGGCAAGGCAATTCAAATTATGTTGTTTGTAGTATAAAAATAGTTGGAAATGGTCACTTTTGGACTCGTAGGTGAAAAAGTACCATTATCCGAAAAATGTGATAATCCGGCTGGGGGTCCTTCCCATATTGTCCGGATGATCGAGTGGAGACAGTACTCATAAATGTCAAGTTGTCAGACATCATAATTCCCAGATCTTTTACTTGTAGCTTTCCTTCTATGATTGTGTCTGTGTCCTGTACAGTGTTTTGTTTAACCATACCTAAGTACTGTACCTGTACCTAAGTACTTGTCACCGTTAAACATCATGTTATTTTCAGTTGCCCAATAGAAGACTTTATTAATATCTGCCTGCAGTTTTTCAGTGTCTTTTACAGAGGAAATTTTTATGCTGATTTTTGTATCATCTACAAAGGATGACACGAAGCTGTGACTAGAATTTTTATCTATACAGGTACCTGTATCAGAGATATGAATAAGAAATAGCAGCGGTGCAAGAACCATGCCCTGGGGTACAGAGCTTTTCACTGCAATTGGGCTTCATCTTATTTGATTGACCATCACTCTCTGCATTCTGTATTCTGCATTGAGGTCTACTGCCCATGCTTGTCTGAACTTCAATTGTGATCTAAGTAACAGGTATTTGTAATCATTAGGTTCCTGATCAATTCATCGTTATTTGTGAAAATGATATACAGCATGTTCTCTCTTTCTAGTTGGTTCTACTATTTGCTTGTTTAAGGCAAATGTGTCACACATCCGTAGTAAGTAATTTACATGTGACTGTTCATTTAGGCTACTTCCCGATATTCTCTCAGATATAACTGTATTAGCTAGATTCTTCAATTTCAGGTGCCATAGGTTGAAGACCCCAAGCAGGATGATGTTTGGGGTTTTCCAAGCAGTGTTCCATTTTCATTAGTTGATCTTTAAACTGCTGAGGATTTGCCTCCAGTGACTTATGTACAAGGGCAAAAACTACATTTAGGATCTCTATTTTGATTATCAGCACTTCCACCATATCATTTGTGGTGTTTAGCAGCTCAGTACAGATGAGTGTGTCTTTGATGAACAGGCTGACCCCACCCTACAGTCTGTTTCCTGTCACATCTGAAAAGACTGTACTCTGGAATCCATATTTCACTATCATAGTAGGTAGTCCTTTGTGTGGGTTTCCATTTTGTTTCCATTCAGGGTTTTTATACCCTGAATGCCGGCAAATATAAATTATGTTATGTTTGTGGAAGTGCTGGATGCTTTACTTTGTGTTAATATCCGAGGCTCTGGTAGAGAGGCCACTATGGTTGTGTCCTCTCTAGCATTTGACGAAGTTGGTGGTAGAGTCTGGACATTTTTAGTCATTCTTCTCCACTTCCTCTTGCTAAAAAATTATTCTGGTATATCAAGTTGTGGCTGTTTTCGTAGTAGTGGTCTTTTGGTTTTAATCGCCTGGTACCTCTTGTATGAAAAAATGGACAGTCTGTTATGAAACATTCTTATTTAAAGTGTAGAAGCTTTCTGTACTTACTAGGGTGATTGTACTTGCACATTCCATTTTTCTTCCCAATATCCCATATTTTCAAATACCCCATTTATAATAACAGGTTTTGGGTCTTCCTTTTGATTGTCTCTCTCTTGGCCCAACTCTGGCATTGTGCCAGAGGCATGGGTGTACCTCTGGCATGCCCATGAACGTGAAGTGTGGAGGCAGGCTTCTGGGTCCTCCCAGCTTTACTTTCCCCATAAAGCAAGGTTTCATCCCCATTTCCTGGTGGTCAGGTGATCTGTCTCCCCCTGGGGGTTGACTATAAAGTCTGCCCACCAATGCTTCCCTCCATTACACACAGCCCCGCTCCTGTGTCAGGTAAGCTACGGGCTCACCATAGCCCGTGCAACTTGGAACTTGTTCTGAGTAGCTGAATCTATAACAACAGCATGCTTCCCTTCCATACTGGCTACTCATTCCTGTGCCACCTCTTGGGTGACTTAATCTTCATCAATTAATCAGCTTTCCTCCTCACTATCTTGCTCTGATGAAGGCCGAATTGAGCTGAAAATGCGTTCAGCATTCTCTAATTTTTTAAATGTGGTTTTCCCCATACTTGGATCAGAATTTCTGTGATCATTGTTTGCATGCATGCATATATGTACTTATGCATATATGTACATATGCATATATGTACATATATGTACATATGCTGTAACTAACAGCCAGAATGCACTACTTGGCCTACTATGCAAGGCCTGATTTATGTAATAAGCCACATTTTCCTTAAGTTATATTTTCTAATTTTTTTCTTATTAAATGATAAAGCTTTCCACTACATTATACACTATATGAGTTCATTTGTTTAAATTTGAGTTAAAACCAAGGTAGAAATATGACTAAACCTAAACTACCTAACCTATCTTAACCTAACCTAAACTAATATAACTAAGTCAGTAATTCATGTTCTTAATATAATAATATTAAGTCAAATAAACCAAGTGGATACTATTATTTTTAATCATGGCAAAAGGAATGATAAAGATCACCTATGGCAATTAACCAAAAGCTAGGCTCAGCTCAGAACTTTACGTTCGTTTCCTACAAACACAGCTAAACAAGTACTATATAAACAACAACAGCAAAAGCATACAAAAATAAGATGAAAGACACGTTACCTTCTGTGTCAAGATCGAAGTCATCGTGAGAGAGTCGCTCAGGGCCATACGCGATGAAGATATCATCGTCGAAGAAGAAATCCCGTAAACTGACTACCTGTTGGGTGAAAAGAGAAATGCATTTAGTTATCTAGCATGGTAAACAACTGAAATGTTGTAAATGTTTGCACAAGGATTACTTCTCCATAGTGCAGACTGAAAATTTCAGCAAGTCTGTATATTGCATTAGAGTTTTGCTCATCTTCAATGACATCCTCACAGTTCTTTAGTAACCGAGAGCCAGGAGAGTCCTCCTCTGAATCCATGTTGGCCAGGATTATTTACCCTTTGGCAGATTACGTTGAGTGAATAGATGATATGGAATGTGTTAAGGGTAAGGCAAAAGCATTGAGTACAATGTACATGATTTGAATACATACTGAGGTCAGCTGTACTCTCTTTATGTACCTTAACAAAAGGACAGTTACCACCTAATATGGTAAACAATATATTTGGCATAAGGTTACAGTAGTTGAAATACGACACAATGGTGTCAGTACATGCATGGCCTGCCATACTGTGAGGCTGTAAGCAGAGTCCATAAAGTGTGGCTGGTGGCAGAGTCTGTAAGATGTGGCTGGTGGCAGAGTCTGTAAGGTCCGACTAGGAGCAAGAGTCTGTAAGGTCCGACTGGAAGCAAGAGTCTGAAAGGTTCGAGTGGAGGCAAGAGTCTGTAAGATGCAGCTGGAAGCCAAGTCCATCTGGCGAGACAACTAGGCCAAGATAGGTCAGAGATGATTATATCAGCTTATAATTATATCAGGTTGTGATTATATCAGGTGACTGTATAGGTCAGGGTGTATATCCACATTGCACCCCTTAGGGGTGCAACGTGGGTACTGTATACACCCTGCAATCTCCACCTTAAGAACCGTCAGTCCGTCGAGATTGGACTCGGGAATGAAGGCAAAGTTTGGCAATAAAAGCATCCCCTCGCTCGACAACATCAGGTACCACAGTTCTACAGATGAGTATGTGTGCCTCCCCAAACACCTGGCGTCAAAACAGAAGAAGACATCAGAAAGAATATTCAAGAATGGCAAAAAGTTGGCAGGAGGGGAACAATCAGAAAGTTGAAGAGGTGGGAAGGAAAAATGAAACATGAAGAGGCAAAAGCAGCCAGCAAATTGTTAAGACAGCAGCAGGAGCATAAGGCCCCAAAAGAACAGAGGAATCCCATGGAGCATAAGGCTCTAAAAGGGCAGAGGACTGTCCCATGGATCATCACACTCCGGCAGCCACCAACCAAGCCCCCTTGAGGTTATCTTGAAATGATTTCGGGGCTTTTTAGTGTCCCCGCGGCCCGGTCCTCGACCAGGCCTCCACCTCCAGGAAGCAGGCCCGTGACAGCTGGCTAACACCCAGGTACCTATTTTACTGCTAGGTAACAAGAGCATAGGGTGAAAGAAACTCTGCCCATTGTTTCTCGCCGGCGCCCGGGATCGAACCCAGGACCACAGGATCACAAGTCCAGTATGCTGTCCGCTCGGCCGACCGGCTCCCTCACAACGACAACGGGCTGAACTGGGAGTGGGGTCTCCAAGGAAGATAATATCTGGTACTGGGTTTGCTAGGTTATCAAGGATATGCTCTATTTAGTGTATCTGTTCTGTGAATTCTTCAATCGTTGCAACTGGCAGTATGTATATCAGAATAATAATTAGGTTTATGTTTTCTACCTTGATTTTAAGTACATCTACCACCTCATTGGTTGAGTTTAGGAGCCCTGTGCATACAAGCTCCTCTTTAATATACAGACCTACTCAGAAATATGCAGCTTTCACTATCCATGTAAAGTTTTGTAAGAGTTTCTGTGAGTACTCCAAATATTGAATTTAACTCTATTGGAAGGCCATTCATGAGCTTTACTTTATTTCTTGATTTTGACTTTAGGCCTTGCATGTTTGCAAATATGAATGATTTTCCATATTGCGTGTCACTTTTTTTTTTTTTTTTTTTTTTTTTTTTTTTGGAGATATATACAAGAGTTGTTACATTCTTGTACAGCCACTAGTACGCATAGCGTTTCGGGCAGGTCCCTGGAATACGATCCCCGCCGCGAAGAATCATTGTTACAACCAAGTACACATTTTACTGTTGAGTTAAACAGAGGTTACAGTTAAGGATTTGCGCCCAGTAAATCCTCCCCGGCCAGGATACGAACCCATGACAAAGCGCTCGCGGAACGCCAGGCGAGTGTCTTACCACCGCACCACGGAGACTTCTGGTGGGTTTGGGGAGTTCTCCTCCCTCTCCATCCTGATCCAGAGTGTGCTGTTTTGGCAATGGTTTGTCCAGTATTGGTAGTGGTACTGGCGAGTGTGCTAGTTTCTGAGGGGTTGGGTGGGTGTACTATAAGTATGCCTGATAAATTGTAGTCCAATCCTGTGCATTTCCCCCCTCTCCATCCATAGTCCTGCAATGTTTCTGTCTACCTGTTCCTCTCTCTTGTACTACTTTGTTTCTGCCAGCCTCCAAAAACTTCCAGGGTTATTATACTGGACCTCCTAGTCCTAGTCCTACTAGTCCTCCTAGTCATACTGGACATTCAGTCCAGCAACCAGGAGGCCTGGTCGACGACCGGGCCGCGAGGACGCTAAGCCCCGGAAGCACCTCAAGGTAACCTCCTGTCGTCAGTAGCGCTGTGTACCTCTCACGTGGAAATCAGGGCATTGAAGACCATGGCATTTTCTCTCATTGAGAATTTGCATAGTTTAGGCTAGAAATATCTGCACTCTGTTCCTAAATGACATTTAGCATTGGAATGTGTTTGACAGTCGTCCTGTCCCCAGGTCACTAGGTGCATGTAACGAGTTAACAGTTTCTTAATCTTATACTGTAACATTATTGTCCTATTAACTGTGTTTATTAGCATAAGGAATTTTCTGTTTAATTTCCAGCTTGCAATATTATGTGACTTACACTGTTATTAATTTCAAGATTCACATCCCTGTATTCCGAAGGCACAGATGAAATATAGAAGTGAATAGTCTGGTTCCAGAACCTAACAAGGAAGAACCATGTATGAGTAAATAAAAACATACAAGTAAATGCCGGGAAGAGCCGCGACACTGGCGGACATACACGCACGCCGTCACATGCTTATGCCTGTATACCCAGCTTGTCTCTAACACACTCGAGGAACGTTTAGAGAGACTGCTCATGAATTGAGTATACACAAGTTATTTGTTTTTGTAAGATTTGTATACAAGAAATGTTTACTTTGGTCAATTTTTACTCCAAGATACCGATACAGTATTTAAAAACTTTGTTGCTTTAAGAGATGAGTTATGATATAGAGTAACAGAGTAATATGTGTTAGCCATAAGTTGACTTAGATGTTTTACTACAAAATTATTTTACAGATTGATGTTGAATTAAGATACAACACAAAAAGTTAACCTTGTCTAGTTTTCTTGTTGGATACTACACAAGCTATGATATGAAAAAAGGTGAAATAAGTTGATAAAAATATTATCATAGTAACTGTTAATACACAGAAAATAGTGTAAATATTAGTAAGGATAGGTTTAAATTCCTTAGCGACAACCTACGGGTGATTTTTTTTTATCTAAGATGTGATACCTTAGCTTAGTGTATGGGAACGAAGACACAGCAGTGGTGTTACGTCTTATCGATGTGATGAAATATTTAACAATGTACATTGTAAAGTAGGAATGAAACATCTGGAGATTTGTATGGAATAGGTATAAATTATTGGAAAGTACGTATAGTAATGGCTCATCCACTCTAATAGGCAAGTACTGATAGGTTAAATTGAGGTTATCTTGAGATGATTTCGGGGCTTAGCGTCCCGGCGGACCGGTCCTCAACCAGGCCTTCTTTTTGTTACACGTCCCCAGGAAGCAGCCTGTAGCAGCTGTCTAACTCCCGTGTACCTATTTACTGTTAGGTAAACATGGACATTAGGGTGAAAGAAACTCTGCCCATTTGTTTCCGCTTCCGCCAGGGATCGAACCCGGAAGCTTAGGATTACGAATCCCGAGTACTGTCCACTCAGCCGTCAGGTCCCCCTTTATAGGTACTCTTCCCTCATCTCCGCACGCCCCCTTCCCAGCTGTCATCCTCTCTCATCCTCAGCCTCTCTGCCAGCCCAGCTGTCATCCTCTCTCACCCTCAGCCTCTCTGCCAGCCCTGTTCTGGTTGATACCTGCTCTCACCCCACTAGTCATCCCTCCGGTCCTCCCGGTACACCCTTCCGGTACACCTTCCCGGTACACCCTCCCAGCCCTCTCCCAGTCCACCCTCCCAGCACTCTCCCGGTACACCCTCCCAGCACTCTCCTGGTACACCCTCACCTTCCCCACCCCCAGTTCTCACCACCTCTTACCCACAAAATGGGAATATGAATTACTGCAATTTGGAGTGTAAACACACACAACATGGGTAAGTGCAAATAAAGAAAAACACAAACTTTGATGCTTAAACAACAGTGATGGAAGATGTAGAAATTATGACTTGATAAGATTCTTAAGACACAACATACATATATAAGATGGACTAGTAGATGCTTAAAGACACTTAGTTTTGGGGTGTGATGGTGAACCCCCAACTTCTCCATCTCACCCAAACTCACCACCAATCCTCAACCACACCACCACCACCACCCCTCAACCACACCACCACCACCACCCCTCAACCACACCACCACCACCACCCCTCAACCACACCACCACCACCACCACCCCTCAACCACACCACCACCACCACCCCTCAACCACACCACCACCCCTCAACCACACCACCACCACCCCTCAACCACACCACCACCACCCCTCAACCACACCACCACGACCCTCCCCTCAACCACACCACCACGACCCCCCCCTCAACCACACCACCACGACCCCCCCCTCAACCACACCACCACCACCCCTCAACCACACCACCACCACCCCCCCTCAACCACACCACCACGACCCCCCCCTCAACCACACCACCACGACCCCCCCCCCTCAACCACACCACCACGACCCCCCCCCCCCCTCAACCACACCACCACGACCCCCCCCTCAACCACACCACCACCATCCCTCA